AACTTAAAGAAGTCCAGACGCTTTTCTTTGCAAGCTCCTTAGACTAAACTAAAACTAGATTTTAAAAAGAAAAGATGACAGCTGAAACATTATTCACTGATACATAAGTGTTTCTGCAGTATTTTAAACATTAACACGTTTGGTAACAACTGATAAATATTGCCAAAAACTCGACTCTTGCCAAAAATGACCCACAAATGAGTTCTGTTATATTATGAGTTCTGACCTGTGGTGGAAGATGAATATTGCCCATTTTAATCCACCGCACACATTATGCTAGCTGGTACGTGGACCCAAAATATAATACAGTGTAACAGTAACTCCCCAAATTACATGATCAGTTAGATCTCTCAGTTGTATAAAGACAAACATGCTAGTTTTAACTGGTGATTCTAAATTGGCATTATATAATCATATAGTGATCATATTATATGCAGTGGATTATAGAAGTACAGCTTGCTGACATTTTCACTGCAACACTCGGACTTGTGGTCTATTTATATGTTGCATCTGAACTCTTCCTCCAGCACTTATCTGCTTGCGCTGGTGTAATCTAATGTTATAGCTGCTGCATCATCTCCTGAGGATTCGTCTCCTCCTTCTTACGCTAATCATTGCTGTCAGAGGTTTTTCTTGTGATACAGATGGGCGAGTGTGCGACTGTTCTTCGGAAACATGCCAGAAACATGCGATGCTCAGCTCTAAACACTGTAGGTGAGGAAAAAGCTCAGCGAACTGATCAGTGCAGCTAATCTTAGTGTGATTCATTTTAATATTTTCCTCCAAAGACCTTGGCTGTGACAGGGCCAGACAAAGAGCAATCCTGGAGGCTTGATTTATTGTACTGTGTACCCTGACAGGGTCACCAGGTCCCTACCCTGGAGCTTGGCCCCGCGTAGAGGCTCCAGAGTGAGGGTCTGGTGACTGAGCCTTAATCCGTATGGCCTGACCAGGCTCTGTGTCCATTCTCCTATGGCTCCACTACCCACAGGAGTCTATAGGGGTTTGATACTCTTTGGATTGGGTGGCAGTCAGAGGCAGAGGTCCTGGCACTCTGATGCCCAGCTTCCAAAACTGGCCTGTGGCACCTGGAGCGTCACCTCTCCGGTGGGGAAGGAGCCTGAGCTGATGTGTGAGGTCGGGAGATACCGACTATATATAGCTGGGCTCATCTCAGCGCATAATTCTGGCCGTGGAACAAGGTTTCTGGAGAGGGATTGGACTCTTTTCCACTGAAGGTGAAAGGTGGTGGGTTCCTCAGGATTCGCTGCATGCATATTGGGGTTTTCCCTGGTGGACAAGTGGGTCGCTTCCCTGCGCCTCAGAGTCAGGGAGTGGGTCCTCATGTTGTTTTTTCCTCTGTGCCAAATGATGGTTCACTGTACCCAGGCTTCTTAGAGTGGCTTTGTTGTGTGAAGGACTACACTGTTCTGCTGGGGGTCTGCAGGGACACCCACATGGGAAGTGATAGTGTGATCTGGGGGGAGTGTGACTGAGAGAAACGGCCTATCTGATCTGCGATGACTCACCAATGACTGGGGGTGAGGTCACTGACGTTCTTGAAGGAGATTCAGAGCTCTTCTTTGCATGTTTCTGCCTTTTGCTCCATTCTCCCTAAACATGATCGCACTTCAATAATGTTGAGGTCTGCGCTCCGGGGAGGCTAAACCCTGACTGAT